CCCCACTTCCGGCCCCACGCTGTCCGCCAAAGTTGGGGGGCGGGGCTGCGGCGAGAGCTGACGGGGAACTGGGCTCTCTCTCCCCAGAGCTCACGGACCCGTGGCGCCCTTCGTCGCGATGGCCGGTCGCTGTTCCTGAGTTCCCCGTTCACACGGGCCGCCGGACCTTACAGGAGGCCCCTATCGAGCGGGGCGCCCTCGCGCGGCCCTTCCGGAAGGACAGACCGGAGGGCGCACCCGGCCGGGCCCATCAGACTGCCTGGCCGAGTAACTCGAGACCGGCGACATGTGGCCCAAGTCTCCCCAGAGCGAGGAGGGCCACCCCCCGGCCGGATTCCCTGGTCTCGGGGGACAGAGCTGGGTCAGAGGCAGAATTTGTCATCTGATTAAGTTGAGAGACCCCATTCCCGTCTGAAGACCGAGGACTGTCCTGGAGGGTGGGGGACAGCGCTGACAGGCGCGCGCGCAGTCTCAGGCTGGCATTTCACGATCCGGGCTCCTTCCGGGCCCTGGGTTCTCCTCGCTGTCCGGGGACCGCGGCAGGTCCCAGCCCTTCCCGCAGGGACTCGGCTGTTGGCGGAGGCGCACGCCTGGCTGGGTGACCACCCCTCCTTGCTACAAGCCCAGAGAGGGTCCTGGGGTGGCCTCTGCAGTCAGGCCGCGCCCCTGCGCACTGAGACGGAAGGAGGCCCAGTGCCGGGCGTGGGCTGTGGAGAGTTCCGGAAGGGGCTGGCGGGGTTGAGCGGACTCCTCACAGGTGCAGAGAAGACTGGGCCCCGGGCGGACCCCCCCCCGCATCTCCGGTGAATTTGAGGGGCCAAGAGCAAGGCGAGCTCCAGCCTCAGCTGAACCTGCGCAGGCACCCGGAACACCAGCCGCCCTATCTCCCGCCCGAGGCCCGGGCTGGCCTGGCCCCGGGGCAGCCCCTCAGCGGCGTCTCTAGCGCGCCCGCTTCGCCGCCTTTGGCCTTCCCGAGGCCGCCGCCCGACCGAGGTGTCAGCGCGAGCGCTCCTCTGCTGCCCCCTGGTGGATCTGAGGGCAGAGAGACCCAGGCTGAAGGGGCTGCCCTGGGTCTGGAGGTAGAATAGAGAAAATACAGGTAGGTAAAAAAGAGGCAAGAAAAGTCGGAATTTTAAAATTGTACCTGGAGCTCAGGACACAAAACTTATTCAAGCCTTTTTCTCTTCCAGGAATCTCCAAAAAATTCCTACGTGTCTTAAAGACGCAATAAGCCTATAAATTGGGCTCTGAGCCTGTGCTTTTCACCTGTAAATTACTTTCTCCCCCAGGCCTCCACCGCAAGGAAGCAGCAATTCTCAGCTTCAGACAAAGGCGAAAGGTTTGCTTTCTGGCCCAGTTGCTGGATGGATGACCTGAGGAGCAGGACATGCATCCCCGACCCCCCAAGCCCCTGGAATTTACCTGGCTCCTGATCACAATACTCTCTCTCTCTCTCTCTCTCTCTCTCCCCTGCATTGTTTTTTTGACACATACTTTAAATTTCCATCTAATAAACCTCTTTGTGTTTCTAACTGCCCAGTCCTGCTCAGCTCAGCCGAAGTCCAGGACACCTCCCTGGTCCTAGCTCCCGATCTGGAGGTGGGGACGGCCCTCGGGAGGCTCCTCGGTGGGACAGATGTGAAGGAATGAACAGTGGGGCAGAAACTATCCTGAGAGCGTGCTCGGGTGTAGCATGCAGATGGGGGAGAACAGTGGGGTGCGCTGACCCAGCCACCACCTCTGCCACAGCCTCGGGCTCAGCCATGTGCAGGTGGAAGGGGTGACAGATACCCCGGGACTGGACAGAGCCAAACCACAAGGGAGCTAACGTCACCAGCACCTTGCAGGGTCATCCGAGCCTGCGTTACTTCCCCCCAGGCCTAACCCACCAACAGGTCCACCTGATCATCTGCTCTAAGCTTCCTAGCGTAGGCCAGACACCTGGCCCTGCCCACTGAGGACCAGGGCTTTTGCATTTGCTGTTCCTTTAAATCCCCACCTGAGACTGACCTGGCCAAGGTGACAGCCTGCAGAGGCAGGATTTGAACCCACATCTGAAAGCAGAGTCATTGTCTGCAAGGCATCTGGCTGAGTGATTTGCTTTGTTTGATTTGCTTTTTTAGGACGAGATGATGATGCAGTCTCAAGGGCGGCCGCACAGGGGAAATCTGAGTGTACAACCAGCCCAGCTCTGTCCTCACAGCCTCGGCACAGAGTTGCCCTCACTGAGCGGCAGCAGTGAGGGCGGTTTTGGAGCAGGGACACCATGCCCCTTTGTACACGGTGGGCTTGGGAGCTCGAGATGCACACCCAGACCTCCACACTGTCACCTTCGTCCGTTCCCCAGGGAACCACACAGCTGCACCAGCCCTTCTCCCATCCCTGGTTTCCCCAAGCAAACCCAAGACTCACAGCTGAGCTCAGGGCCCATGTCCCACAGCCAGGATCCCAGGAAGGCCAAAGCAGCAGTCCGTCCCTCCTCCATTCCTCCACCCGCCCCATCCGTTCTCCCCAAACCCTGCACCCTCCCCTCCACACCTCCCTGCACTCATCCCCACACCCCTCAACCTCCTTCCGACCATTCAGCCTCCACCCACCCATCCCTGCCACATCCCTGTCCATCCTCCAGCCAGAAAATATTTCCTGAGCTCTGGCTCCATTCATGAGGGAGGAGAAGAGGCTGTTTCCACGCTTCCCAACATGACTGGGTGAAGGAATTATTCCTACATCCAACCCCGTGAACACACATTTTGCAAATTCCGTTTGGAGCTGCATCATGCAAATCCAGCTGTCACAATTTCCTGGGAAGTTATAGGTGTAGAAAAAAGACCATCTGGCCCACTGGAGTCAGAGTGTGCCTGCCTAGGTTGCTGGGTGTGGAATCTTTACATTTCATCTGAGAAGGCAAAATAAAGACTTTCTGCTGCAAGCTGCTTCAACTTTCTAAATTAAGTCCAGGGATGTGGTCCATGGATGGGACCCTAAGCGGTGGTCTCAGCAGGTTTGCTAGGTGTGGCTGTGCTTGAGCGCCTTCTCAGGGGCGACTGGGGACAGCTGGGAGGTACTGGGGGCCTCCCTGAGGCTCTTGTTGAGTCAGGGCAGCCTGGGCTCGGGTGCTGGGGTTAAGGCTGTGCAGAGTGACGGGGCTCACGGGGTGCACTCCGACGTCTGCAGCCTTCTCCCGGCACATCAGGTCCCTCCATGCAGCTCAAAGGGAGGCCCAGCCCCACCGGGGGTGGCCAAGCCTGCTCAGCTAAACCCACAGGTGACTTTGGACCCAGTGCCATCGAGCATGTTCCTGGCTGACGCAACTATTGCACACTGGCAGCTTAGGGAAAGGGGGAGCAGCACCCCACAGCGTCAGGAGCCCACAAGAGCCCAGGGGGAGCCTGCATCTCAGCCACCCTGACAAGTGTCCAGTTCCCCTCCAGCGTGGGCCTCTCTAGGCCTTCCCCAGCCAGGGGGCAGGCGCTTTGCCAATCCCACCTGCTAGACCCCATGGCAAGCTCTCCAAACCCCGGAACCTTTCTGCCACCCCACAAGGGACCCCAGTCCCTCCGTTGTTATCGCCTAGTCCACCAGCTCTGGAGTTCTCTGCCTCTGTGAATGTGCCTGACCTGGACACTTCACACACAGCACGACCCCGTGCGTGACCTTTTGTGCCCGGCTTCCTGCTCTAGCAGGATCCAAGGTCCAACCCGCCGTGCCACATACCGGGAAGTCCTTCATCCCTCCTCACGGCTCACTGAAAATTCACTGTGAGCAAATCAACTTCAGCAGCCAACTACTTAACCCTGTATCCCACTATACATCCGGGGAGATGCAGTGACCCCCACTGAGTGACCCCCACTGAGTGCCCCCTACTGAGTGGTCTCCAAGGTCCACCAGGCTTGGCGGGCTGCGAGGAAGGGCACGTTGGGGCCGGCCCAGGTGCCTTGGTTCCATCTAGCGGAGAAGCCAACATTCTAAGCCTGGAAAGACTGAGCCCAGGCCCCTCCTCAGCCGGAGAGACTGCAAGGTGGCCTCCTGAGACCTGGAACCCAAAGAGGGACCCCAAGGTCTGGCCTGTCTGGCCTGTGCTTGGGGCTGACCTTGGAGAGCCTGGGGAGTCTCATGTGAGTGAGGGCAGGACAGCATGACCAGGGCAGAGAGCTGGACTCAAGTCTCCAGCTCTGTCTAGGTCAAGAGCAGTGCTGGCCCAGGGCCTCCCTAGCAAACAGCTTCACACCTCACCCGCTTTGATTTTCAGACATGTAGAGTGTCCCTGCTGTGGGGTGCCACGTCCTCAGATTATTCCACCCCCATGTGCTGGAAGGGCCACAACGCAGGGCAGCCAGTACCCCTGCCACCCACAGGTCCTCGGCACCTTCCACGGCTTCCCAGCGACCTCAGCCACCTCGCTGCCCCTGCATGGTCTGGAGGTTCATGCGCACACCCTGCTCTGGGCCTGCACACGGAGGCCCCTTGGTGGTTGCCTGGCCCCAGGGTGGAGAGGATCCCTCAGCCCTGGCTGCTCAGCACTTCACCACGCACCCCTGCAGCCCCTGGGCACACTGTTCTTCCCCTCCCCCAGACCGAGGCCTCCCCTCTGCTGTTCCCCAGGGCCAAAGTGCAAGCCAAGGTCCATGGTCTGTCCCTCCCCGCCTGCTCCTCATGGCTCTGCTCCCGGGCACTGGATGCCGGTCTGTCCTCGCTGCTGCCCTCATGACAGGTCTTTGCTGACACTGCTGGCCTGGAGACCTCAGCCCAGCTGTGCCCTCACCTCCTACCATGGCGGCCAGAGCAGGGCAAGGAGCCCAGACCTGCCCCAGTCCAGGAGGTCCCGGTGCCCTGAGCCCCCACACCTCTCCCGCAGGTACAGTCCATCCTGCTGAGCCCCCAGCAGCCCCCGTTCTCATGTCGAGTGCCTGCAACTTGCTCCAGGGACTGGCTGGCCTTGCTTCAGCTGGCGTGGATGTGACAAGTGGCAAAGGCACACCTGAAGAGGGGGCAGGAAGGGCAGCTGTCAGAACCGTGGGCATCTGTGACCAGTTATGGGGCTGGGAAGCATCGGAGAGCCCTGGTGATGCTGGGGTGACAACCCCGACTCCCAGCATGTGAAGCGGAGGGCCCGCAGGCAGCACACAAAGCACTGTCATCCACTCTAGAAACACTGGGCGGCTCTGACAATGCCAAGTTTTCCGGCCGGCATGGCTTCTTATCCCGTCAGATCCCCGGCTGGGGCAGCAGGGCTGAGAGACCCGAGCACTGGGAAATGCCAATGCCCTGCCCCTTGGAAACCTCAGGGCCCGCAGAAGTGGCCGCTCCTGCCTGAGAAAACCTGGTCAGGCCCTCACCTGGAGGCCACACCTCCGCCTCTGGCAGACAGCACCCGGGCCAGACATGCTTAGGACTGAAACATCACATCAGAGCCATGGCCGTGGAGCCTTTCCCCAGCTCTGGATCCTCCGGTGACTCACTGGGCTCAGCCTCCCAGGTGACGAGAGGGAACGACTGAACGCGCTGTTGTGCCTTTTGCCCCTTTTCCTAAGACAAACAGTATTGTCATTGCTTTGAGCCGGGACTTGGCCAAATAACCAACTGCACAGTTTCTGTGTCCGGATTTCTAACAGGGCGTGTGGTGGACTTGGAAAAGAGGTGTCCCTGGCACATGAGAATGGGCTCATGCTGGGAAAAGGTCTTTGCAGGTAAGGAGCTCACCCTAGTTCATCTGGGTGGCCCTAAGCCAACGAGTGTCCTCACAGGGACACAGGAAAAGAGAAGCTTACACAACCACCGAGCCAGAAACGGGGTGACGTGCTCACCAGCTGCCAGGACAGAGAGCAGAGCCGCCCACCCAGTACCTCCAGGAAGCGCGACACCGCCCACAGCCTGCTATCGCCATCACCCCTCGACCCCCAGCACCGTTACTGGAAGTCACCAAGTTTGGGGACAATTGTGAGAGCAGCTGCTGGAAACTGATGCCAAGCTCTTCCTGCAAGCAGAAGTTCAGGAGCAGGGACCCCAGCTGCTCCGGATTCCAGGGAGCTCACAAGCCCAGGCTCTGGAAAGCACAGGAGTACTGATTGCAGTGCTAGGGCCGCAGACCTGCAAGCTTTCTGCCCGTCTGGGCTCTTTTTGAAAACCCTGCTTTCTTTGTTGCTGTTGTTTGGTTTTGGAGGCAGGGTCTCGAGCTCACTTATGTAGCCCAGACTGGGCTGGAACTCACAGCGATCCTCCTGCCTCAAACTCCCGAGTGCTGGGATATGACAGGTGTGCACCACACCCAGCTCAGTGTTGGTGTTTCACCCGAGTCACACTCCCCATGTGGGCTGCACTGGGGTCCTGCTAGCTGGTCCGAGACTGGGGATGGAAGTTTCCTGTTTTCCCAACACATGGAAAATCCACTCTATCCTCTTTACCCACTCAGGAACCCCAGCACCGACTCCCCACTTCCCTGCCCTCTTAGCAATTACCTACTGTGGAAATTAGAAATCACAACAGTGCTAAAATGAAGCATAGAGGGCTTCATTTGGGAGTGGATTTTATTTTTCGAGTCAGGAAAATGCAGACTGGCCTGGGCAGTCCAGCAGGGTAGAGGCTTTTGTAAAAAGGACAGTGCTCCTTGGGGAAGTTAAGCTGGTAACCCGGAGCGTGGTGGCCAGCACAGTCCTGCTGGTCATAAATTCTGTTAAGTGAGCCAGACATAGTGGGGCACGCCTGTAATCCCAACAGTCAGGAGGCTGAGGCAGGAAGATCACAGCAAGCTCAAGGCCAGCCTGAAATACATAGTGAGATCATATTTCAAACAACAAAACAGGGTGGGGCATGTTAGCTCAGCGGCACAGTGCCTGCCTGGCAAGCTCCAGGCCCTGAGCTCAACTCGGTGCCAAAACAAAACAAGAAAACAAATAAATTCTGTACATTGCTCCCCCAGGCAAGAGTCAAATGCTGTCTCATACTCTCTCTCAGGCCACGGAAGGTATTAGGAGAGTCTGAGAAGTTGCTCTCTCCAGCAGATCCAGGTTTGGACAATTTAGGAAAAAATCTTTAAGGAACCTCTGTGTGGCTTGCCTTTATCCCCCCCACCCCTTTAGTACTAAGGATGGAACCCAGAGCATTTGCACTGAGCTGCATCCCTGGCCCATTTTTTAGTTTTTATTTTGAGACAGTTCTTGCTAAATTACTAAATTGCCTAGGTTGGACTGGCACTGGTGATCCTCCTGCCTCAGCCTCCCAAATGCTAGGATTGCAGACTGGTTTTTCCTAGTTTTTTTGTTTTTTTTTTTTTAATGAACTTCCTTTGTTTGTACATTCAGGATTTTTAATTACTTAGCTGGTAGAAAATTTCAATATTTACCTCACTCTCCTTTAAATTGTGTGACAATTTTCCCATAATAAAGTATTTAGAGACAAGCTTGGGTCAAAAGTGGATAAAACAGCAAACACCATCCCCCCAAAACTGCTGAAAAAAAAAAACCACTGTCGGGGCCTGGGGTTTAGCTCAGTGGTTCTGCCACCTGCCTTGCAAGCGCAAAGACCCAAGTTGGATCCATGGTATCAAACAAAAAACAAACAAACAAAACCACTGCCAAAAACCCCAAACAGGAAAACTCTTGCCTGTCATCTCCAATCAAAAGCACACAGTGTCCGTGTGCAGTGTCTGCTCTGGCGGGCTCTCTATGGCCATGCAGACGCCTTCTCCCTGGACAGCAGAGGCCCATGGTCATGTGGGCAGTGTTGCTTGCTTTCGACACTGACAGTTGCATGAGTACAGCTGTCCTGGTCCCGCCATAGAGAAGCTGAGCCTGTGACCCTATCACTAGCACCACTGCTGCAACCCCGGCATCTTGTACTGCAGGGCCCAGGCTGGCTTCTGTCACTCCCATAACGCCGCAGGACACTCTGCCTCTAAAGCCCCCATCCTGCCTCTCGCCCAGGACA